TATATATATATATCCCTGTATTATATAGTTGCTTTAACGAAAGTGAGTCTCAGCTTCCCCCACTTCCCCTCAGCTCCCACTCAGCTCCCACTCAGCTCCTACTCGACTCACATAGTTATTTGCGTGTTTTAACGTTATTTTTGATCAAAATATTTTTAAGTAACCTCCCCCCCCGCTTTCCTCAGCTCCCCCTCTATCTTCCCGCCAAAAATTCTTATTTTATTGAATGTTTTACCATCATAAATGTTAAAAAACATGTGTATATAATTTAGTACCCAAGTCATAACTCGTTTTTAGAGTTTTCCAAGTCACTGATCATAGGTCTTCCTCTGTCTATTCGCTCCTCCTTACTTACTATATGTCTCTGAAGTATCATTATTTGTTTAACTTAATTAAACTTTTACATTTGAAATCTCTTGCCGGTCCATGCGTACTTTACCCAAATATAAAATTCTTGATTACCTGAGGACTTTATTTACAAAAAAACAGAATTGAGGAGAAGGTATAATTAAATAAACTAACACAATTAGGTTTTTAAAACAATAATTCATTCTGTTAGCTTAATAATGTGACATTTCATGTGTCGTTTTAACCCATCTGTTCTTTTAAATCCCCTTCCACATTTTTCACATAATTCTTTTTCATGGTTTTTATAAATTGATATACCTCTGTTTAAATGTAACGATCTTTAAAGTTACATATTTTTAAATTACCGAAAAATTTCTTGCAAAAAAATATTTTTGATTTCTTATTTATTCTCGCATTCAATTTAAATAAAAATACTTTTTTGATTCTAACATCTTGATAAAGCAACGTATGATTGTCCGTAAGAGAATAGAAGTTTCTTTATATACAATCCTTAGGATTGAAAACTCTGTCCTTAAGATTTGTTAATAGTCATAGAAAATGCTGATACAAAGGGAAACTGTTTTCTGTATAAGACAAAAGGTAATGATGTGCTAGTATTCGATGTTATTCTAGGAATATAATTTTTTTTTGAATAACAAAACTTTAAACCTGATGAAGGGAAATACGACAACTCATTAATGTATAGATCATATCACGTACAAAGTTGTTGATAAATCAGATGATAACGTTTACATAAATGTTCCTATTCAAATATTAAATAATAGTCATAAAGGTTTGCCACCACACGAGCTTAATTTAAAAGTTGGAGCAATAGATACATTACTGAGAAATTTAAGTATAGCAGACGGTTTTTGCAACAACATACGATTGAAGATTAGAAAATTATTTGAGTATAATACTGAAGACGAAGTTAGAACAAGAGAAGGACATGAAAATAAAGTATTTATATCGAAAGTCACTTTAAATGCAGTTAATACCTCGTCATTACCTTTCATACTTTACAAAGAGCAATTTCCTTTGGTTTTGGCATTCGCTATGACAATCTACAAATCTGAAGGGCAAAGTTTCAATTTAGTCGGTATATACTTAAAAAAGCCTTTATTTTGTCATGGATAACTATACGTATCGTTATCAAGATGCAAAACTACAGACGGGATATTTATGCAAACTGCACTGAAAAATAATTTGGAATCAGAAAAAGTTGTTATTCAGAAGTCTAACTATTATAAAAAAACCAGCTTAAGTTGGTCTGTGGTAATTAATAATGAACGGTCGATAATAAGAGTAAATGAAATTTAGTTATTTAACTAAATGGAAAAAGGACTTGACATTT